GCCAAGTATGTTGCTCTCTCTGTCTTCAGGTCCTTCCCTCTATCACCTGGAAGCAGGATGAGCCACACCCAGAATACACTTTTGGCAGCTGCTGAACTCTCCTGGGTGGCTCAAGGACCCTCTCCTGACCATTGTTGGGGTCAGGGAAGTCTGCCTGGCTGCCCTCTCCCTCCTCACTGCACCAAGGAGGGCATTTCCTAGAGTGTGTGAAGGGCTGGCCCTTCCTTGCTAGCCCCCACCCTGCAAAAGCCCCTTTCCCCTTCTCCCCCTGTGGGGGTGGAACTCGTGGGCTTTCTGCTTGGCTTGATGTCTGCAGGGTTTGGGAATTTTGGGGGGTGGGAGGGTCTGTTCAATGCTACCCGGTGTGTCCTTTCTAGGGTGTTTCACAGAGGCAGCGAGAGCCCCTCCATCAGAAAGATGGAGGCTGCTGGCTAAGGCATCTGCTCTGACCTCAGTCTGGCGGCTGGACACACATGCGGCACCTCAGTGCTGTCTGAAAGTCAGACCTTGGGGTACTGGGATTGGGGCAGGAATACCCAGAGGCTGCCCTCTCCCTCTCCATCTCCTACCGGCCTCCCACCCCAGGCCCTGGCTTCATCACCCCTGCTTGTGCCAGTTGGGAAGTTTCCTTCTCGGGACTGCCGCCTCTCAGGCTCTGTGTGTTCTGTCCACCACCTCTCACTCTGTGCTCACAGTGAAAGGTGGGCACAGCATGGCTTCTTGCTGTCACCACGAGTGAGGAGTCAGACACTGGTGGGCAGCAGTGCCTTCATCCTTCCAGGCTCCCAGGCACCAGGGAGGCTGAAATGAGCACTAAGGTCACCTGTGCACTGGCCATCGGGGTGTGCCATGAGAGGTGGGCACCTGTAGACTGGAGGCCACACACCCCTGCGGCTGCTGTGTGGACAGCAAACACGGGACAGAAACCTCACCCAGTGAGGATCAGCTGGAGTTCAGACAGGCAGAGGCACGACCGTGGTGGGGCGGGTTGTGGGGGCTGGCTCAGCCCAGGGGTCCTGTTCCTTTCCCTCATACTGGTGACAACGTCCCCACCAGGCCACAGGCCATGAGCCCTCTGAGGCTGGGCCACACCACCCTGTGGGACTAAGGAGTCAGGGCTGCTCCAGCAGCCTGGGGCCACTCAGTGGGCTGCAGTCTGGCTTTGTGGCCTGTCTCTGCTTGGCCGAGTCTGTGCTGCCCAAGCCCTTTGCAGCTCCTGGAGCATGCTGTGGCCTGGCCTCTGAGCTGCTGCTGGCATGGATTTCTCCTGTGGCCTCCTCCCTTATTCCAAGTCCACAGAGGCTTCTTTTTCCCGAGTCCACCCACTGCACCGTCAGAGGGACTTTTTCCAGCCTGGGGGTCTCAGCCCTCTATGTCCTGATCCCTGCTTGGTGGGTTGGTTCCTGCCTGAGCCTGTGTCCCCTGTGGCCATGTGTTCCCGGAGGGTGGACATGGCCTTCTCCAGTTCTGAATTCTGCATTGTCCACCTGCCTCCTGGCCATGGCCTCTCCTGTGGGCTCTCTTGGTTCAATGTGTCAAATGGGGTTCCTGCAGACCACCCAAGGTGCAAAAGCAGCTGCTCCCATGTGTTTGGGGTGGGCTCGGGCTTCCTAAGTAGTGACTGTGGCTCCATGGGGTGACCTGGCTCCTGCTGCCTCTCCCCTTCTTCCTTGCTGGGCACAGAGCACACCTCTGGGTGGGAGACATGGGCTGTTTTCACAAGCTCCCACCTGCCCTCTGAGAGAAGGTATAAACACAAGCAAAATGGACACACTGACACCTGGATGCAGCCTCATCCCCAGGTGCCTGGGCCATCAGAGTCAAGCCAGGACGGGGCTGCGTCAGGAGAGGGCACTTGAGGAATGGGGTGGGAGGCTGTGCTCAGCCCCAGCTCAGGCTTTCCCGGAGTTGCAGGCATGGTGATGAGATTTCAGTTGTGAGTGGGAGCTTCAGGACCCCCTGACAATGGCAGAAGCAGAGTCCCCTGCTTCACCCACACCTGCAGGCCCGGTCTGCCCTTACCAATTGCACGTCCTGCTCTCCCTCGGCTTCTGAGCCTGACCTGCCTCTGGCCGCCTCCTGGGCCATGCAGGTGGCAATGATGAAAAACTGAGAGGCTCACAGCCGGGGATTTCCCTGCCCGGTCAGGCACCAGCTCTGGCCACGTCAGCAGAAACTTCCTGCTGGGACCCAGCTGGGTCTTGCCCACATCTTGCCCTGGGGAGCAGGTGTGCAGTTCTGAATGACAAGAGGCAGACAGGGCCATTCTGACCTCGCTCCACCCACTTCGCAGCAGCAGCCTGGGCTGGGAGAGAAGGCACAGCATCATAGCATCCTCCTGCCATGCTCTGGCATTGGAGACAGGCTGCCCCGGCAGTGGCTGGGAGGACACATTAAGATGACAGAAACAATGATAGCTATGAGCAGATGTGGGTCACTGAGTTCTTGCTACGCACTGGACCTGTTCTGACTCACCCTTCTTCCTTCCTTCCTTCTTTTCTTTCTCTTTCTTTCTTTCTTTCATTTTTCTCTCTCTCTCTCTCTCCCCCCCTCCCCTCTCCCCTCCCCTCCCCCTCTCCCCTCCCCCTCCCCCTCTCTCCTCCCCCTCTCCCTCTCCCCTCCCCCTCCCCCTCTCCCCTCCCCCTCCCCCTCCCTCTCTCTCTCTCTCTCTTAAATGGAGTCTCACTCTGTCACCCATGCTGGAGTGTAGTGGTTCAATCTCAGTTCACGGCAACGTCTGCCTCCCAGGTTCAAGTGATTCTCCTGCCTCAGCCTCCGATAGCTGGGATTATAGGCACCCACCACCCTGCCCGGCTCATTTTTGAATTTTTAGTAGAGACAGGGTTTCACCATTGGTCAGGCTTGTCTCGAACTCCTGACCTTGTGATCCACCCACCCTGGCCTCCCAAGGTGTTGGGCTTACAGGTGTGAGCCACTGTGCCGGTCCTGCTCTGGCCCTCTGGATGGGAGGAGGTGGCCCACAGCGGGAGAGGGACCCGCCAGCATCTTACAGAAGCCCCATGGTAACCTTGCAAATGGGTTTATGAAGCACATTTCACAGATGAGGAGGTTGAGGCTCAGAGAAATAACTTGCGAAGGTCAGACAACCAGGAAGGGATGGGGTGGACACTGAGGCCTGTGAGGCATCGCTGCTGGTGGAAAGCATTAAATGGGGACTTCTGTCCCCAAGAGGCCTCATCCCAGGAATTGACTTTTGTTTTTTGAGAGGGAGTCCCACTGTGTCTCCCTGGCTGCAGTGCAGTGGCACGATCTCAGATCACTGCAACTTCTGCTTCCCAGGTCCAAGTGATTCTCCTGCCTCAGCCTCCCGAGTAGCTGGGATTAGAGGAGCCCACCACAATGCCAGCTAATTTTTGTAAATTTAGTAGAGACAGGGTTTCATCATGTTGGTAAATCTGGTCTCAAACCTGCGACTTCATGATCAGCCTGCCTCAGCCTCCCAAAGTGCTGGGATTAAAGGTGTGAGCCACCATGCCTGGTCATACAAAAACTGACAAGGGCTGAGTCCTGGGGCTAGGTGCCTGAAGTCAGCCGGGCATTCTCTCTCAGGGGACAAACCAGAGCGCTGACCCTCCACTAAGCCCTCCAACCCCTGTGATCTCTTCCCCTCTTCATGGCATCCTCAGAAAGCATGTATTATGATTCCCGTTTCCTTGCTGGGAAAACTGAGGCCTGTGATGGGATGTACCTGACCAGCATCAAATGCCAGAGCCTGACAAGTTGGATCCAGAACTGGGACCTTGGCATCTGGTGCCTCCTCTGCCTTTTCCCTGGTGGGTGTTAGGCTGTTGTGTGGGTGTGGGGGTGACTCACACAGTCCACGTGGGCGGGAGGGTGCTGCGCCTGCAGCTGGTGGGCATGGCCCATCCCATGCCTAGGGCAAATGGCCCAGCCAGTTCTGCCTCTGAAGCCTCATTCCAGCCATCCCTCTGCCTGCCATGACAGCTTCCCGCCGCCCCAGCCACAGTCCCACCCAGGGACCTTGGGGTCAGACATGCAAGGGTTGCCGTGACCACCCAGAACCTCACCAGGTGAGTCCTCCCTGCACAAGGCAGCTGCTGATCTCCAAGGCCCCTGGGGATCCCAGGGGTCCTCTGGGCCATGTCTGCCCTTGACCAATAGGCCTTGGGAGGAGGCTTGGAAGGAGCTCAGGCCCCAGCAGGAAAAGCAAAGCCGTGAGCTCTCAGCTGTAGGGATGTGTGAGGATAGCCCCTACCAACTCAGGTACGTTTCTCTGAGGTTTGGGAACCCTGGGGAGGGAGGGAGAACATCTCAGTGTCACCCACATTGAGGGGCAGAGGTGAAGCTCCTGGCTCCCTAGGCCAGCCCAGGGACGTGGCTTTCTGGGGCAGGAGAGTGATGAAAGTTCAGGATGGAAGGAGGTGGCCCACAGCGGGAGAGGAACCGGTCAGCATCTCACAGGTGCTGAGTCATCAGTTGTGGCTCCGAGGCTTGCTCTGTCACCCAGGAAAGGCCATTTCAGTGTTAGAAACTGGGAGAGAGAGGAAGGGTCAGGGCATGACAAAGTCCAGCAGAAGGAACACAGGATTTATGAGGTGACTCAGGGAGCTAATGACAGCTGCCGTGGCCCTCGTCCGGGGTTCCCTGAGCTTCTCCTTCCCCAGCTGCCCAGGGCCGTGTACATTTGTGGGCCCAGGGAAGGGAGACAGCAACCAGCTGGCAGGGCCATGGAGTCCTTGGGGACCTTTTGGCCCACTTCTTAGAGAGGAAACCCGAGGTCCAAAGAGGGGCAAGAGATGCGTCCGTCCTCTGCCTCCTTGCTTGGTGCATCCCAGCCTTTCAGTCCACCACAGGCCACGTGGGGCTGGGGAAGCTGCAGAGGCTGCCCCGTCTTCATCATGCTGGGACTGGACATGGCAGGGCTGGTGCCCAGCTTTCCCTGCCTGGCCTCAGGGTGCCCACTCTTCAGGGCTCAAGCTCCCCTCGCCACTGCCACCCATCCTGGGCCTGCTCCCTTGAGTTGGAGAGCGGGGGACTCTATCCAGTCTGCTGACACCTGACCTGGCTCCAGACACTTCCTCCAGGAAGCCTTCCTATTGGGGTAGGATGACCAGTGGCCCCAGTTCCACCACACCTGGCTTCTTCTTACAGGAATACATCTTCCTGCCCCTACCTGTGTGTCTCCAGGTGAGTTTCCTGAGGGTGACAAGCTGAGAATGGCACCCCCTGACTGCAGTTACCACTAGTTCACACAACCCTTTCCCCACACATGTCATCCCTCTGTGGCCAGCTGCCCCCTTCCCCGTCCCTATGGCAACCGCAACAGCCTCCTCCGGGCCCCTGGCTTCTGGTCTCCTGCACCCTCCAGTGTAGCCTGCTCTCTCCTATGTAACACAGAGCCCCTGAACCCAACTCCTAGCAGCCTCCAGGGGTCAGCCATGGCTTCTTTAATGTTAAATAAAAACTTATTTTTATTTTTTTGAGTCAGAGTCTTGTTCTGTGGCCCAGGCTGGAGTGCAGTGGCACAATCTGTGCTCACCGCAGTCTCCACCTCCTGGGTTCAAGCAATTCTCCTGCCTCAGCCTCCTGAGTACCTGGGACTATAGGAGTGCACCACCATGCCTGGCTATTTTTTTTGTATTTTAGTAGATATAAGGTTTCACTATGTTCCCCAGGCTGGTTTTGAACTCCTGAGCTCAGGTGACCTGCCCAGCTCAGCCTCCCAAGGTGCTAGAATTACAGGCGTGAGGCACCACATCTGGCTAAAGCCACAGCTCTTATGTGGTGTTTGGAGACTTCATGAGGCCCAACCTGCCTGCACGCCTTTCACTGGCAGGGTCCCTGTGAGCTCCCAGGTTTCCCAGCCACAGCAGCTCCTGCCATGCCTGCCACTCCTGACCCCTCGCCCAGGTTGTGCCCTCTGCTCCTACCCCTTGTCCACACAGCAGCCTGTCATCTTTCCAGGTCTTGTTGGAAGATACATTGGTTCCTCTTCCCCAGCCTGCACACCCCTCTGAGCTCAGCCCATACTGAACATCAGTAAAGCAGGTCTGGACTGAGGGGTTGGCCTCCTCTGCCTGGGGCCAGGGGACTCAGCTGCTCCCTGCAGGTGAGAGGTGAGTCTCATGGCCAGCCAGCCATCAGCCAGTTCCAAGCAGCTTTGGGCGGGTGGGGGAGATGATCGCTGTTGGCTGCAGAGACAACCTGAGTACTGGGGAATCCAAAACACCCGAGGAGCTTGAAGCTGTGTTATTAGGAGCATAACATCTAGAGCAAAGGAGGTGATAATCTTGCTCTGTGAAGGTCAAACCTCTTTGAGAGGTGCTCTGAACACAAAGTCTGAGAGAGAGGGACCTCAAGAAAGCAGAGCTAGTGCTCAGGAGTCCACCTGGGGACTGGTTGGCTGGAAATGGTGTCTTGAGAGAGGCTGGGGGCGTGGGGGTCTCTAGGGGATCACCATGGTGGTCCATAGCATCGAGGTGCTGGAGCCAGGAGCTGGGGAAGCTTTAGGGACAGCTTCTCTGCCCTTGAAGAAAGGTTGGTTACATGGGAAGGGAGAAGTGAGCTTCCTGTCCTAGGGAGTGTGACTGGGAGCTGGATGCTGCCATATGCGGATCCCAAGCCCTGGACGCTCCCCTCGTCCCCTCGGCCTGAGCATCTGCCCTGTGGTTGTGTTCCAGCCATGAACGCCTACCCCAAGGAGATGGTGCCTCTCATGGACAGGAGTCACTGCCCCCAGTGGGAACCCTGTTGTCCTGCCAGAGAAGAGGCTGGCAGAGACCACCCCACAAAGAAGAGGTGGATCTGGAAGGCCCAGAGCTGGGATCCTGAGGGGCACTAGCAGGGGCCTGGCACCCCAGGAAGCCCTTGCCTTGGGGAGACCCGAGACACTCAGTCTCGCCTGGGGTGGCCTGGCATCCAGCGAGGTATGGCTGGAGGTGGCGCAGGCAAGAGCACAGCACACTTTGGTGGTCAGTGGAACTGGCACAGTCAGGGAAGCCTCCGCGGAGGGATCAGGGGCGCTGAGGCAGGTGCTGTTCGGAGGGCTCCTGAGGAAGGTGAGGGATGGCTGGAGCCATCCTTGAGATGCAGGAGCAAAACGCCGGATGGAAGTTCCAGGTAACCTGGACCCTCTGCAAGGCACGGTCTACACACACACACCAAGGCTTTCCATCCGCTGTGCAGCAGCCAGGTTATTCGAGCTGTACGAGGAAAGGGGACAGCAGCAATGGCTCCAACCACAGGGTGATGGTTGATTAGGATCCAGTCAGCAGTGCACAGTGCAGCCCTGGCATGCATCCATGCTCTGCACGTGTTGGCACTGAGTGTTTTTGTTACTGTCACCATCCTCATCGTCGCCGTCATTCCACAGGGCCTCTGGGAACTGGGCAGGGCTGGGACGATCAGCTTTTCTTCTTGGCTGGGGACATGGAGGAGATCTGGAGCAGAGAAAGGAGCTCTCTGGGGTCACCTGTCCCGCCCCTCCGCGACCTCCAGCATAGATTCTGCACCCACAGCTGATTTGATGCTTCTCCAGCTGTCCGCCAACCCAATTCACCTGTGCGTCCCCTGAACCTGGGGTGGCCCTGCCCCTTCTGCCTGTATCCTGGGCCCGCTTTGGGCCAGGAGTGAGCTTGGTGCTTCCCCTGTTAGTTGGAATTATAATCACTGAGGTGTCCTATGTATCAGCCCGTGGGTTGGGCTCAGGATTAGGAGTTTAGACATGGAGAGAAAATGCCCATGGATGCTCAGTCTGGCAGAAGGGGAGTTGAGAAGATGGTGGGAGATGCCCAGAGACAGGTGAACCAGCCAGTGGGGCCTGAAGAGCCAGGTTACTCTGATCCTGTAGGCAGTCTCAGGGGACTTCCTGGAGGAGGTGGTGCTAGAGAGGATTTGGAGAGAAAGGGAAAGTGCACCTGGGGCAGAGGGATGGGGAGCAGTGCTCAGGGCAGGGCCACGGAGGTGGGGAGTGTGGTGTGGCTGGAATGCAGGGCAGTGGGGTCGTCTCTGGGGAGATGAGTCCCGTTGGAGCTGGGTCTTGGGGGTCAGTCAAAAAACTTGGATCCTGAGAGCAGTGGGAGCCATGGAAGGCTTTTATGTGGGAGGGAGGGTACAGCGAGATTTGGATTTTGGAGAGGTGACTCTGGGGGATCTGTGTGGAGGACGGATTGGAGGAGAGGCTGACAGCAGGGAGACCATGAGGTGGCCTTGAAGCCCAGGTGAGCCTGGGTGGTCAGGGTAAAGCAGAGCGGGTAGCACAGAGAGGTGTCAGCATCACAGGGTCCATGGGATCCCCCATGGGAGGTAATTGAGGAGGAGGAATCCCAGCAAGAGGGCCTGGAGGGATGGCGGGGCCATCTCTGATTCAGCACAGCAGAGGAGATCCGGCCAGGAGGAATGAGTCAGGCTCAGCTGTGAAATATTGGAGAAGAGGAGCCTGAGGGGCACCCAGGTGGAGGCTCCATCTTGGAATACAAGAGGGAAAACTACGTGGAAGTGGAGACCAGACAAGTGTTGCATGGGGCCACACAGGCAGCCTGGTCTGGGTGGGCTTGTCCAGGAAAGGGCAGAGACATCCCTGAGCTAGGCTGGCAAGAACCAGCTCCCTGCTCCCCTACCCCCTCTCCTTCCAGGGGAGGTTTGGACTTCGGGAAGGGAAGAAGTAGAAGACAGAGTTCCAGGAAAGCTCCTTCCTTCCTCAGCAGGCCCCGTCAGGCCGCCTTTTCTGAGCCTATCCCCCATTCACAGACCCAGCTCCGGGCTCAGCTCTGCAATGCCTCAGCCCCATCAGGGCCGAGTGTGTTGTGACCTTTGCCGCCCAAATTGGTGTCAACTCCTCTGCCCAAAGGCTCTCCGAGGGCCATCATGTGGTTTGGACATCCTCCTCAGAACTGAGTAGAGGACTTGGTCCTAGAGATAAACAGAAAAGAATATATTAAAGGCCAGTCACAGTGGCTCATGCATGTAATCCCAGCATTTTGGGAGGCCGAGGCGGGTGGATGACTTGAGGTCAGGAATTTGAGACCAGCCTGGCCAACATGAAGAAACCCCATCTCTATTGAAAATACAAAAAATAGCCAGGCATGGTAGTGGGCTGTAATCCCACTGTAATACCTGTAATCCCAGCTATTCAGGAGGCTGAGGCATGAGAATTGCTTGAACCCAGGAGGCAGAGGCTGCAGTGAGCTGAGATTGTGCCATTGCACTTCAGCCTGGGTGACAGAGCAAAACTCTATCTCAAAAAAAAAAAAAACCAAAAAAGAACTTATAGGTAAAGAAAGAGGATAATGCGGACCCCTAAGGAAACAGGCACGCTGAGGATGCAGCAGGGAGAGACTTTGGACCTGGGAGTGCTCTTGGACCATCCCTCTGTTCCTGGAGAAAAGCTGTCATCTTGGCTTCCTTCCTGGACCCTGGAAACGTGATGCCCAGGGTCAGAGATGCAGACTGATGGAGGCAGTGGGGGCACTGGCCTTGTGGGGCGCAGAGCACTCGGGCATTTCTTGGGACAAAGCAAATGGCCGGAAGTCTCCTTCCCAGCCCTGGGCTGATCAGGGATAGTTCTTTGACTTCAGTGGAACAGAAATGCGGTAGAAATGGTATGATCTGCTCAGCTGGATCAACCACAGCCAGCTGGTGGCCTTCGGTCAGGACAGAAGAAAGAAGAAAACAGCATCTACAGCAGGTCAGGAGCCAGGATGCCACATGGCGAGGCCTTGCCACGTGCTTATGACAGTGGGTAAGATGTGTTACGTGCAGTGGCTGGGAGGGTGGGCGCAGCACAGACCTGCATCGTCTATCGGCTGCTCTGCCACAGGAGTCAGGTCCTTGCCCAAGAGCTGGATCCTCCTGGCCTGCTATTTTCACTGTCTTCTCACATCTGGTGCTCCAGCTGCCAAGGGCTTCCCTCTCCAGACACAAGCCTCCTTTCTCCTGAGACTTTCTCATGCCGTTCTGCCTTCAGTGTTTTTCCCAAACCAGAGGCTGGTGTCAAGACGCAGACCAAATCGCATCCTCCTAGCCAGAAGGCTCTTCTCTTGGGGATGATGTCTTAGCTCTGGTTGAGATCACTGAGCCTGGGGCCCTGGAAGGTTCATCTCCTCCCTTCCGTCTCCCTGAGTTTCCTGCACAGAGGATATTAGTAGTTTTTGAGTAAGCAGATGAGTCAATTAAAGAGCAGGCAGGAAAATGAAAGGAGTAGGTTAGCAGGTGAGCTGGTGAGCCAGTGAGCAAGCAGCCCAGTGGCTCAGCACAGCCCTCCCATGCACAAGGACACCATATGAAGCGATGGGGAAATGTCTTCCTTTCCTCAGGCTCTCAGCCTCGGGTCTGGAGTGGATAGAAGCTCTTGTGATACAGCTTTCTGGACCCACTTTGGGCCCCTGTGGACTCTGGGAGAAGGCCTTGAGTAGGTACGGAGGCAGGGCAGTGACAAAGGACTGCCCCTCATCTTCTTGTGAGAGATTGGGATGGGAATGAGGCTCTGGAAAGGTAGACTTTTAAACACCTGAGAGCACAAGGGAAGTCATCTGAAGGATGCAACCTCCCAATATTGTGGTTTAAGGTTATGTCAGTTTATCTGCTTACTGGTCCTGTCCACCTAGCCTACCCTCCCAAGTGCTTATTATCTATCCATCCAGCTATCATTTATTCACCCATCTGTCATCTATTCATCCATCCATCAATCATTTATTCATCTATCCATCATCCATCCACTCATCTACCCATCATCTATGCATCCATCCATCATCTGTCCACCCATCCTCCATCATCTATCCACTCACCTACCCATCTCGCCATCCAACCATCCATCATCCATCCACTTATATACCCATCCCATCATCCATCCATCCCTCATTCTATCATCTCTCCATTATTCACTCATCTATTTATCTGGGCATCTATACAACCAACCAACCTTCCTTCCACTCACTTGTCCTTCACTCATTATCTATCTTCCCATTCATTCACTGATGAAGTCTGAGTGTTAGGACCAGTGATGGGAATCAAGGGTAATTCAACATAGTCTCTACCATTGAGGAACGCATGGCTGTAGGATGGTGTATTTTGCAGTGTGTGGAAAGTCGTGGCCTCACTGTACTATTTCTCAGTGAGTTCTGACCAACTCACTGGAGCAGCAGCTCTGGAAGGGATGGAGCTTTTGTCCAGTTGTTCACTACTGTATCCCTAATTGCAGGAACAGTGCCTGGCACATTGCAGATGCACAGTAAGTATTTGTTGAGTAAATGCAGCACTGAGGAATGCAGACAGGTAGCATGGGATGGGCAGCAGGAGAGGGACTGGGCCAGTTGTCTTGGGGAAAATGCTGTAGGTACAGGACTTGAAGCTCTGGAGATAATTTGGCAAATCTCTACCAGGATGTTTTGGGGCTCAGCCACCATCAAATGTGTTGGAAGCTTCTGGGTCAGGCTGCTGTGGTGGACTGGAGGCTACTTTAAGGTGAAAGCCCTGGGGTACTGCAGGGCTGCAGGGAAATGGCAATCAGACTGGTTGACCTCTGATGCCCACTTCAGCTGGATGTTCCCTAAGAGGATGATCCCAGAGGTGCCCTGGCTCCAGAGTCCAGGCCCTAGGGGTCATCTGGCCCAACCATCATCCATTCAGGTGGTGATGACTGGCCCAGAAATGGCAGGTGACCTTCTGGGGTCACACAGAAAGCAGAGGCAGAGGTGGACTAGAACCCAGGCTTTTGGTTTTCCAGGCAAGGGTTCAATTCTTTTGGAAGAAGAGTTTGATTGGCAGCTCAGGTCACCTTCCCTCCCACTGAGACAAATGCATATCTGACTACTTCCCCTGCGCATTTATGGTTATCTTATGTGAAGCACAGATTTACTGAGAGCAAGATGAATCCATAACTGACCATTTCCTCTACTCACCCGTTTTCATGTGCCACACGTGTACTCAGGAAGCAGAATCAAAGCCTCAGAAGGATGTGGCCCTATGCTCCCTTTTTTTCTTTTTGAGATGGAGTCTCACTCTATCACCCAGGCTGGAGTGCAATGGGTGCAATCTTGACTCACTGCAATCTCTGCCTCCTGGGTTAGAGTGATTCTCCTGCCTCAGCCTCCCGAGTAGCTAGGATTACAGGTGTGCACCACCACACCTGGGTAATTTTTTGTATTTTTAGTACAGACAGGATTTCTCCATGCTGGTCAGGGTGGTCTCCAACTCCTGACCTCAGGTGATCCACCCACCTCAGCCTCCCAAAGTGCTGGGGTAACAGGCTTGAGCCACTGTGCCTGGCCACATATCAAAGTCTCAATTCAAGGAAGGTTTCTTTTTTAGAAATGGGAGTGTCACTGTGCCGCCCAGGCTGGAGTACAATGGCGTGACCTCAGCTCACTGTAACCTCCACCTTCTGGGTTCAAGTGATTCTCCTGCCTCAGCCTCCTGAGTAGCTGGAATTACAGATGCCCACTATGACATTCAGCTAATTTTTTGTATTTTAGTAGAGACATAGTTTCACTTTGTTGGCCAGGCTGGTATTGAACTACTGACCTCAGATGATCCACCCACCTCGACCTCCCAAAGTGCTAAAATTATAGGCATGAGCCACTGCAGCTGGCCAAGGGAATTTACTTTTGTTGCTGATGATGGCTCAGTCCACAGTAAAATCCCACTGTCCCGAGCCCACATGTGCCCACAAACCTGGCATCCAAATGCTTCAACATATATGAGAAACTGACAAAGAGCATTGGGGGGGAAGGGTGGCACTCTCAGCCTGACACTAAACAGATTAAAAATCTAAATGTGGGCCAGGTGCGGTGGCTCACACCTGTAATCCCAGCACTTTGGGAGGCCATGGCAGGTGGATCACAAGGTCAACAGATCGACACCATCCTGGCCAACATGGTGAAACCCTGTCTCTGCTAAAAATACAAAAAATTAGCCAGGTGTGGTGGCATGTGCCTGAAATGCCAGCTACTTGGGAGACAGACAGGAGAATCTCTTGAACCTGGGAGACGGAGGTTGCACTGAGCCGAGAATGCGCCACTGCACTCCAGCCTGGGCAACAAGAGTGAAACTCTGTCTCAAAAAAGAAAAATCCAAATATGGTCGAGCTGAAACCTAAAGGTCTCGCAGCTCCAAGAATCCCTCAAGCACTCGTGAAGGAGAGCAAAAACGACTGGCGTTTCAGCCTTGGCAAACAAGGTCCACACCCTCCAAACAGTAGCTAGCATTCAAGCCAAAGCTGATTGTTGACCCTGGAGACCTAGAAGTCAAGAAGGGACCTCCAACTTGGAACTCAGAAACTTCTGAAGAAACCTGCCTTGAAAAAACATTAGAAAAAAGAAGTATGAAATGTCAGTAATACCAGAAAAATATTCGTTATGGAAACCAATGAGATGGGGTTCCCTGGGGCACAGTCCTCAATAACTCTGATGAAACAGAAGAAGGCGGATGTCAGCAAAGGGGGCCTGCAATTTCAAAGTCACCAAAAAAAACTTTAGGAGAAGAAATGCCTGTAGAAAAGCAGTCAACTGGAGATCGATCCAAGATGGCCGACCACTAACAGCTCAGGATAGTAGCTCCCAGTGAAAGCTCAGAGAACGAGACGACGCCACATCTTTAGACAAATTTTCGTCACTCATCGATTAGCCCATTCCCAGTGGAGGAGCCCCACAGGTCGCCAGCGCGACTCTTGTGGCCGCCACAGCGGTTTTGCCGGCATCTCGGCGCAGCAGCTCTTCATGCAGAGCCCTACTGACCAGAGTTTGGAGCTCTGGGAAGTCAGAGCCGCTTGCTGCGGACTCAAGAGGGAAGCCAGACCAGATATTCCCGGGCAGAAGGCACCATCAGTCTTATCGCTGCTATTTAGGCTGCCACAGTGGGTTGCTCAGATCCCAGCACTGGGAATCAATAAGTCAGACGTCAACTCAGAAACCTAATTAGAAAGGCGGTTCATCTACAATGAAGGGAAAAAAACAGCCTAAGAAGGCAGAGTATACTCAAAATCAGAACCTATCAGCAACGGAAGAAGCCCTGATGGAAAAGGACTCATCAGCAATGGAACAAGTCCTGATGGAAAAGGACTCATCAGTAACAGAACAAGCCCTGATGGAAAAGGACTGTGTTCCATTATCTGAGGTAGGCTTTAAAAGGTGGATGATAAGAAACTTCTGGGAGTTAAAGGAAATTGTTCTAACCCAATGTAAAGAAACTAAGAACTTGGAAAAAAGGTTAGATGAAATGTTGAAAAGAATAGACAATATAGAGAGGAATACAAATGAACTTATGGAGTTGAAAAATACAACACGAGAACTTAGTGAAACATGTATAAGCTTAAACAGCTGAATGAATCAAGCAGAAGAAAGGGTATCAGAGGTCGAAGACCAACTTAATGAAACAAAACGACGAGACAAGAATAGAGAAAAAAGGATAAAAAGGAATGAGCAAAGTCTCCAAGCAATATGGGACTATGTGAAAAGACCTAATATACGCTTGATTGGTGTACCTGAATGTGACGGAGAGAATGAATTCAAGCTGGAAAATACTTTCCAGGACATTATCCAGGAAAATTTTCCTAATTTAGCAAAGCAGGACACTATTCAACCCTAGGCAATACAGAGAACACCACAAAGATATTCCTCAAGAAGACCAACCCCAAGACCCATAATCGTTAGATTCACCAAGATCGAAATGAAGGAGAAAATATTAAGGGCAGCCAGAGAGAAAGATCAAGTTACCCATAAAGGTAAGCCTATTAGGCTTACAGCAGATCTCTCAACGGAAACCCTACAAGCTAGAAGAGAGTGGGGGCCAATATTCAATATACTTAATCAACAGAACTTTCAGCCCAGAATTTCATATCCTGCCAATTTAAGCTTTACATTTGAAGGAAAAATAAAATCTTTTAGGAACAAGCAAGTACTCAGAGATTTTATTACCACCAGGCCTACTTTACAAGAATTTCTAAAAGAAGCATTATATACAGAAAGGAACAACCAGTATGACCCTTTCTAAAAATACACCAAAAAGTAAAGATCATTAACATAAAGAAGAATTTTTATCAACGAAAGGACAAAATAGTCAGTTAATATCAAATGGCAGCAACCCTAAATTTAAATCGACCAAATCTCCCAATCAAAAGATACAGACAAAA